TATTATTTTGGTACTGGGGATCGAACTCAGGACCTTGCACTTGTGAGGCAGGCGGCAGAACCACTGAGCTAAATCCCCGGGGGCCCTGTATAGATAATTATTTGATAACAATGATTAATTTGTGCAAGTTATTTAAACTGAAAAATTTTAATTGTTAGTCTTAACAGTGGGTGGTCTTTCACAGTCATACCTTACATTTGTGTAGTGAAAGCTTTGCTCTCATATATCTCAGATTCACACCACAAAGTGTCTGTAGATTCTGAATTCCAGGGATGAGCTCACATATACACATTTGTACACTCATAGGATATCTCTATAAATCTTTGCCCTTTAACAATGTCAAGGATAACCCTACCGTACACTGAAAAAACCTAGGGGGTATAACTTTCCACAGATCAAGTAAAATAATTTTCAGTTGGGTTGGGCCTAAATTATTATAGCACTGATTGTCACTGGTATCATAGATCTGCTTATTTATCAAGTTCCATACTATCCCCAAGTATAGAGATGTGATCCTCATTAAGTAGGAACAGAAAACCCATACCATGAATTGGACCCATGTTGGAGAACTATTTTCAGCACTGACTCCGTTGCATGTTGGAGTTGATGGAAATGAGAATGTGACCCAAGAGCCACTTTCCAGGTTAGATTTCATCGTGATTGTATTGGGGACCACATTTATCTATTTTGGAAAACAGCAATTCAGTGAAAAGAAACTCACTAATGAACTTTATATACTGTCTCTGCATAAATATTTAAGAGATTTTCATTCATTCTTTACTTTAACCAACATTTATTGAGCACTGATTCTGGGCCAAGTACTGAGCTAGTAGTTTGTGAACAGGCTAAAATCGCTGCCAGCACAATCCCTCAAGATAGGCACCATATGGGGGTCTGAAAAATGTTGAGTCATGGAGCAGTGATGCCCAGTTGCCTTCAAAGGGCTGTCATGTAAGCTACTTGAAAGATAGAGAGTTAAGAGACAAAGCGACACATTTGTTGGACCGGAATAGTTTGGATTGGTTGGAGTACACATGTCAGTGGCGGGGAGGGAATATGAACTAAAAAAGTAAGTAAAGAAAATGCTACAGTTTGAGTTGTATCCACTGATGATAAGGAACCATGAAAATATTTGAGAAGAGAAATATTGCTCAGTACAGAGGATGACTGGAGAGTGAGGGGTGGCAGGGAATTTTAGTAATGTCGGTGAGAGGATTGAGGGCAGGAAGTAGAATAAAAACTGAACTTGAGAGAGAAGAGGAATAGAGTAGGTTTGACTTGGTGACTAGATGTGAGGAAAGGAGACAAGTTTAGAACTTCTAGTTTTTCTGGATAGGGGGACCATGGCACATAATAGGTGCTCAGTAAATATTTGTTGACTAAATTAAATATATGAGGAGCCTGTGTATTTTTTGGAATCACAGTCTTGCTGTGTTGCCCAGACAGGCCCTGAACTCCTGGGCTCAAATGATTCTCCTGCTTCAGCCTTGTGGGAAGCTGGGACGACATGCATGGACCACCATACCTTGCTTATGGGAGTATGTTTTTATTTTTGGTTTTTTGAGACAGGGTCTAGCTATGTATTTCACGCTGGCCTCAAACTCACAGCAATCCTCCTACCTCAGACCCCCTACCCCGCCCCAGTGCTGGGATAGTTGGTGTATGTCACCAAAGAGTGTATTTTTAAAGATAAAAAAGTGAGTTCAGTTTTGAACATGTTGAGTTGAGGGGGCCTCTGATGATCGAAGTAGAAAATGTCAATAAGGTAGTTCAAGTTGTGTTTTGAAGGACAGAAGAGAAGGAAATCAGGGCTGGATGTCCATACTGGGAAATTATCAGCATATAAAAGTTGAGGTTCTGGGAATGAATGAGTCACAGGGAAAGAGTGTACATACTCTTGAAGCATGGATGAGATTCATCAGCTTATAGGCTCAAGTTGGAAGTCATGGGCGTGGATGATATTTTCCAGGCTTCTGCACGTTGACATGCCTTAAAATATATTTTGCCTGGCCGGGGATTTAGCTCAGTGGTTCTGCCGCCTGCCTTGCAAGCGCAAGGACCGGAGTTCAATCCCCGGTACCAAAAACAAACAAACAAACAAACAAACAAAAAATGTATTTTGCCAACATCTGGTGATTTTAAAAAAACCTGCCAAAACCTTGAAGAACTCTCTTGATTAAGAGAAGATATGAGTATATGTTGTCATGGTCCAAGCCTTTGCAAGTAAAATAATGTACTTTCTCACACACACACACACACACACACACACACACACACACAGATCTCTGTGTAGAGAAATATTAGAATCAAGGTATCACATTTCATTTTATTTTTGATAGCAGTAATTAATAATTATGCATGTTATTTAAACTGAAAGTTGTTGTTACTCTTAGCAGTGGGCAGTCTTTCACAATCACACCTTATAATAGTGTTGTGTAAGTTTTGTTTTTCTGTATCTCATGTTCACACCTTGCAAGCACTCAGAAATTATCTACAGCTTTTTAATTCAAGGGACACTTGCCTGGTTCCAACATGATGGCCCCTTTTCCCTTTCTCCTGGGAAGTGCTCTCCACTCTGGAGAATGAAAGCTGTAAAGGTATGTAGTTTTTGGAGTGGTGGTCTGTATTCCACTGTGGGTTACTCTCTGAAACATGTGGTTCTAAGCAAAGCCTAGGAATACTTGTGCAATTGGGCTCATCTCTTTTACATGTTTGTAGAGATGGGAATATTTTTTGATTCCTGGGGAAGAGAGAGTCATAAATCTTTCTAGTTTTCAGACATAAATTGTTTCTTTAATTTTTCTGTCGTTTAAGAGGTTGCCTTCATCAGGTATTCTATTTTATTTATTTATTTATTTTGTACCAGGGATTGAGCTCAGGGCCTTGTGCTTGCGAGGCAGGTGTGGTGCCACTGAGCTAAATCCCTGGCCCCAGGGATTCTATTTTTATTAAACATAAACATGAAAGTCCTTGTTTTCTGGTAGATATTTTGTGACCAATTTTCAGTTGATGGGATGGTTCTCCTGTAAGAGAAGATCATGGAAAACAACATTTACTGAGTGCCTGCTGCATTCCATTTGCTGTATATATGATCTCTCATTTAATGTACACAACACATCTGAAGTAGAGGTGGTGTCATCTCCATTTTACAGATAGAGAAACTGAGGTTCAGAAAGGATTATTTTCCCAAAGGTGGTATAAGTGATGGAGCCAGAATTTATATCCAGGTTTTTCTCAGACCATAGTTCATACTCTTTCGAGTGTACCAGTAAGACTCTGAGGGGAAATATATAGTCTTTGACCCAATTTCCCACACTCCTTTGACTTGCACAACACTGTATGCTCTGGAATCTGGTCCTACTTGACTTATCTTTACTTGTTTGCCCTTTTCCTCCTATCTTTGTTAGATGTAAGTATTCCAGTAGTGTTTGTCCTTCGCCCTTCCCACTGTCTCTGCCCCCTCCCACATTCGTTCCCATGACTTCATTATCTTTGCTCTTTGAAGGATTCCCATATCTTTTTACAACCTGACCTCGTCCGTGCTCTCCAGCACAACATCTCCCAGTTGTCTGCCAAGCATCTCCTTCTGGAAGTCTTGTCAGTGCTTTACTTTCAACAGAGCCAAAACTTTCTCCATCATTTTCTTTTCCCATCTATACAAACTTGCCTCTCCCCAACCTTCTACATTTCTGGTGATGACATCTCTGCCTTATACACAGACTTGAAACTCTGGAATCGTATTTGACTTCTCTTACACATCCCACACTTAATTTAGGTGGCTAATTCCTGCAAGGGGTACATCTATCATACCTCTCAGTCTTATCTTCTTGGCATGTGTGCCCTCTATTTATACCCAGCAGGCTGGTGCCTCGTTACTAAAGGGTCTCTAGAGTTGACTGATTCCATGCTTTCTCTTATAGATCATCTGCCTGTCTTCCCCTCATCACTGTCTGGTACAGTCTTACTTTTCAAAGTCTCAGTGCAGTGCCACCTTCTTCATAAATCACTCTATGATTCTCCGTGACTAGATGTGATTCTTTCCCCCCTTCGCCCCGCTGTCTGTGTACTTTTGTGCCTTAGTTCTTCCTTGTTCTTGTAATTTTTCATGTAGTGGACTTTATTCTTCTGACTAGAACCTTGCTCTGTGAAGTGTGTTCCATGGGCCAGAAACCTTGGCGTCACTTTGGAGATTGTAAGAAATACAGAACCTCAGGCCTCATCCAAGACCCACTGCATCAGAATTTGCATTCTTTAACAAGATTCCCAGATGATTTGTATGCGTGTGAAAGTTTGAGAAAGGCTGCTTCCATGTGTAATGAGGGTAAGATACATACAAGCTTGCAGTATGTATCTTGCACATAGTAGATTAATAGCCTTTTCATTTCTCATATTTTTGCTTTAAGTATTCCTTCATTAAAGTGATATTTGAGAACTATACACAAGAAATGTATGAGGGAGAGGGGAAACAAGGGAGAGAGTGGAGAAGGGAGTGAAGGAGGGAGGGAAATGAGAGATTGGGGAGAGAAGGAAGGGAGGAGGAAAGGAGGGAGAATGAAGGAGAACATGATAATAAATGGGTCAGAGAGAGCCAGCAGTATCTCTGCTAGGTGGCTAATAATTCTGACACAAAGGCGGTGTTATCCAACCTCCAGTGTAGGCTTTGGTTTAATGTGGTCAAAAGCAAATATATCCTGAGATCATTTTACTCCTACTCTAGCGACCGTATGGTTTCCCACTTTCTCTTTTGCAGGCACTTTACAGTGTATCTTCTCTGGCTATACCCAGAAGTCAGAGTGGAACTTTTTTTTTTTCCTGTTTATTTTTATTTATTAATTTTTTTTAGTTCTTTTATTG